CCTAGATACGTTTAATTTTGACATCATTTGTATTTTAGGGCAAGTGCCCAGATCAGATATGAGTTCTTATAGGATAATCATACTTCACACCAGAATCTTGGAGGCATTGTTCTTCCTTGTTAAGGTTCTCACAGGAGGGCCATTTTTTGCAATCAGTCCACTCAACAAACACTGGTGGAGCTCAGGTGAGGTGGAGGCCATGGGGACAAAAGTGAGTAAGCCGCGTGTGCTCCCAAACCAGCACGTCATGGACTTATATAAGTAGCGATGGTAACTCATTACAACACAGTCTCAGCACACCCCGTCAGCCTGCCCTGTCAGGAAGAATCCTCTAAGTGACATTCTCACCTGATTTTGCCCTCAATGGAGCCATAATCTGACCTGCCCCGGGAACAGCAAGTGGGGTTACTTCTGCAGGTACCTAATAGATATATGTTGGATGAGACCAGGTCTGCGTGAATGTAACTAAAGCCAACAGAAAGAGTTAATGAGACACAAAAGGAAAATAACTGTGTAAATTCACTTACATGAGGTACCTGGAGTAGTCAAATTCATAGAGATAGAATGTCGAGCGGTGATCACCAGGGGCTGGGGGAAGGGGAGAATGTGGAGTTACTGTTTAACAGGTGTAGAATTTCCCTTTGGGAAGATAAAATTGTTGTGGAGAGGGAACACTCTTTGATATAAATTGTAGCAATATATTTTTTTTGGCTCTGTCTCCCGAAGCAAAGGAAATAAAAGTGAAAATGAACAAATGAGACCTAATTAAACTTAAGAGCCTTTGCAGGGCAGAGGAAACCATGAACAAAATGAAAAAAATCTACTGAATGGGAGAAAATATTTGCAAACAATATGGCTCATTAGGGGCTAATATCCAAAATGTATAAGTAGCTCATACAACTCAACATCAAAAAACCAAACAACGCAATTTTAAAACTGGGCAGAAGAACTGAATAGACATTTTCCTGAAGAGGAAATGCAGGTGGCCAACAAGATGCTAATTATCAGGGAAATATAAATCAAAATCACAATGAGATATCACCTCACTTGTCAGAGTGGCTATGATCAAAAAGAAAAGAAATAAAAAATGTTGGTAAAGATGTAGAAAAAAGGGAACCCTCCTACACTGTTAGTGGGAATTGGTGCAGCCATTGTGGAAAACAGTATGGAGTTTCCTCCAAAAACTAAAAATAGAACTACCATATGACCCACCAATTCCACTCTGGGTATATATGAAAACATTAATTTGAAAAGATTCATGCACCCCAACGTTCATAGCTGCATTATTTACAATATCCAGGGCATGGAAGCAAACCAACTATTTATCAATGGATGAATGAATGAGTAAAGAAGATTTGGTATATATATACACACATACAAATATATATATATATATATATACACACACATATACATATACATACACACTACTCAGCCATAAAAAAGAACAAAATTTTGCCATTTGCAGCAACAAGGAATGGACTTGGAGGGCGCCATGCTAAGTGAAATAAGTCAGAGAAAGACAAATACTGCATGATACCACTTATATGTGGAATCTAAAAAATACCACTAGTGAATATAACAAAAAAGAAGAAAACTGACAGAGCAAACAAACTAATGGTTACCAGTAGGGAGAGGGAAGTGGGGAGGAGCAATATAGGGATAGGGGATTAAGAGGTACAAATTAGTATGTATGAAATAAGCTTCAAGATAAATTGTACAGCCCAGGGAATATAACCAATAATGACTATAAAAGAAGTATAAACTTTAAAATTGTGAATCACTATATTGTACAGTTATAACTTATATAATATCATACGCAACTATGCCTCAATTTTTTAAATTTTAATTCACTTATTTATTTAATTTTGGCTGCCCTGGGTCTCTGTTGCCACCTGGGCTTTCTCCTCCTTGCAGTGCTCAGGCTCCTCGTTGCAGTGGCTTCCCTCGTTGCAGAGCACAAGCTCTAGGCATGGGCTTCAGTAGTTGTTTTGCTTGTGGACTCCAGAGCATGGGCTCAGAAGTTGTCGTGAATGGGCTCATTTGCTCCACAGCACATGTAATCTTCCCAGACCAGTGATCAGACCCGGGTCTCCTGCATTGGCAGGCAGATCCTTGTCCACTGCACCATAAGGAAAGTGCTATACCTCAATTTTTTATCCTGTAATAACCTACTACTGAAAAGAATTTGATAAAGAATATATATATATATATTTATATCTGTCACTTTGCTGTACTAACCAGAAACTAGCACAACACTGTAAATCAACCATATTTCAATTTTAAAAAACATTCTGGAGATGGATGGTTGTAAGGGAGATTCAACAGTGTAAATGTTGTTAATGCCATAAATTATAAATTTTGTATTTTAAATTTAAATTTTTACTGTGACATTATCACAGTAAAAATTTTATCACAGTAAAAATCAGTTAAAATTGAAAAAAAAAAAAAAAGAAGAAGCAAGACAGCACTGGGGAAAGGAATGGAAAGAAAGTAGAAGAGATAAGAGACAGCTGAAATAAAGGTGCTTTAAAAACAACCCAGCTGTTGCCCAAGAATTGATGCTTTCAAATTGTGGTGTTGGAAAAGACTCTTGAGAGTCCCTTGGACAGCAAGGAGATCAAACCAGTTAATCCTAGAGGAAATCAACCCTGAATATTCATTGGAAGAACTGATGCTGAAGCTGAAGCTCCAATACTTTGGCCACCTAATGCCAAGAGCCAACTCATTGGAAAAGACCCTGATTCTGGGAAAGATTGAGGGCAGGAGAAGAAGGGGACGACAGAGGATGAGATGGATGGATGGCATCACCGACTCAGTGGACATGAGTTTGAGCAAGCTCTGGGAGTTAGTGATTGACAGGGAAGCCTGGTGGGCGTGCTGCAGTCCATGGGATTGCAAACTCAGACACAACTTAGCGACTGAACAACAGCGTTATCTGTGCAGATAAAATTTATAGTGAAGAATGTGGCCTTGTTCTTAAACTTTAGACTCACTTTAAACCTCTGGGTTCCCTGGCTTCACACACCTGGGGTTTATCACACCGCGATCTGATCCTTCATGCAGGTCCGGGCTGACACTCCTGTGACCCCCAAGGATCCAAAGAACCTCTGCCTTCAAGAAGCTTGTCTGCTCAAGATGAGATACTTGGATGAAAGTGAAAGTGTTTTAAGAACCATGAGTGTCGTAGAAGTTATTTTAGAATGTAGATAGGCTCCTGGGCAGAGACTTCCATTTCCTCCCTCTCTGTCTAAGGTCTGGGGACATGAGGTAAACTGCCCCCACCCCCCCAACCCCCCCCACCCCCTCCCCCACCCCCAACTGCTCCTTCGTTATGTTATCTGACATTCTGACTTTAGCTCCCCATCCCCAACATATTTCAGTGACACTTGCCCTCTCCCTGTGATCCCGGGTGAGTCCAGTGAGGACCCTCCCCAAGACCCCCCAGACTCCTTCCTCCTTCCTTCCAATTAAAAAAATCAGCACACATGACTATCCTCACACACCTGCTTATCTCTTCCACAGTAGTTGCTAGTATAGACACTGTATGGTCCCCTGCCCTTGATTGAAGCTCCTACCGGCCGTTTTGGACGCAGGCAGAGTGAGGTCAGAGGCTGAGCCTCATTCTGTGTGTATTTCTGTGCAGCCAGATGGACTCCTGGAACTAATTAAATCACCAGATCAGACTGCCCGCCTTTCCTTCCTCCTCTTCTCCTGCTTTGAGCTCCCCTCCCCATTCAAAGGGCTTCCCAGGTGGTGCTAGTGGTAAAGAACCCGCCGGCCAATGCAGGAGACCTAAGAGACATGGGTCCTATCCCTGGGTCTAGAAAGATCCTCTGAAGGAAGAGGCATGACAACCCACTGCAATATTCCTGTCCGGAGAATCCCTTGGACAGCGGCGCCTGGCGGGCTACAATCCATAGCATTGCAAAGAGCCAGACACAACTGAAGCAACTTAGCATGCACACTCGCCCCATTCAGAAGGCCCCAGGCCTTCAGGCCTCATCAGCTTAGCTTTGGCCCCAGAGGCCTGTCTGAGGGGCTAAGCTGGCCACAGAAGAAGCCCCAGGCACCCAGGCCTCCCCAAGAATGCCGGGCTGGCAGGGCGAGGAGAAGGCAGAGAGAGAGGAAGTAGGCTGTCTGACTCTCCAGGGATACCTGAGTGCAACTCCCCAGGAGAAAGGGGGACTTGAGGCCTGGGGTTAAGGGGTCCTCAAGATATTTCTGGATCCCGTCTTCCTCCCCTTCAGCTCCACTCACCCTCCATCCCTGTGAGCTCTCCCTCGAGCCCAGCGGGGGTGTGATTCCTCCCTTCTTAGCTCCCACTGTTCACAACTTCCAGCAAGCCTGTCTGGCCCGGGAGCAGAGAGAGAGGCTGGGAACGTGGAAAGGGCTCGAAGCCTGGGCATGTTCCTCAGCATCCCCCCAACCCCTCTCCCAGGGACTGAGGGCCGCATGAGGGGAGCTGCGGGGGGTAGAGCTGGGGCACCCCTCCCTCCAGACACCATGGGACCATCAACACAGCCAGGGCACCAGAGAAAAAGAGATGGGCCATCTCTTACGTTCTAAATAAAAATCTGAAGGGAAAAAAAAAAAACAACAAAGCAAAACTCATGAGATTATTTCTGCAGCTATAGCCCAAACCTGGGGAACCAGGTCAGGGCATGGGGCACACAGGGTGTCACTGAATTCCTGGCCCGGAAAGCCAGACCCCAGCCTGGACACGGCAGCTTGGCAATGCGAACCGCTTCTCACCAGAGCCTGCATGGAAGGGAGGCTGAGACCCCAGCGCCAGCCCTGCCTCCTGCCCCGGAGACCCCACAGCCGCCTTTCCCGGACTCTGAATTCTGGATCCTCCAATGGGCCTCCCATCAGTGTGGCCTCGGACCAGCCTGAGCAGAGGCGCACTGGCTGCTGTCTCCTCATGTCCCAACCCCATCACGCCTCCTTCCTCTCGCCACTCCCACCCTGAGACAATGCAACAACATGCTCTGCTGCAGAAAACAGATGGGCCTGACCACACTGGCAGCCCTGATGCCATCGTGGAGAGAGACCAAGAGGGAACAAGAGGCACAGTGCGTGCCCAGCCCCACCTCGGCTGGAACGTGAGCCGGGAGGCTTTGCATGCGATCACACAGGAGAACGCACCAGAACGTGACACAGCCCGGCCACTTTGCAAATGACCAGAGCCTGCGGACACACGACAGACCCTTCCCCACTCCCTGCAGATGGCAGCGTTGGCCAGGCTTGCCAAGCGTGAGCTCTATCAAAAGTTCTATCAGAAAGACCCGGGAGGGAGCTTGCTGAACCTCGGACTGTGCTCTCGGCCCAAGAAGAGAGCCCAAACTGGCGATTGTTCTCATTCTCTCATATCCAGCCAAGGAGCCCTGGAGCAGAGAACCTGCAGGATCCAAGGGGAGCCACGGTTAGGGCAGCCCCGGGTGTGCCTCTTATGAGGAGTGGGCCTTGAGGACTTGATAAGTTGTCTGAATCTCCTTTTCCATATCTGTAAAATGAGCCTAATGACACCCCACAGGCTGACTGTATTAAAGGAGAAAATAAGCAAGTACTCCCTGATCTGAGTTACAATTATGGCAGTGATTATCCAGTTGCTTGCTTAATCAACATAAATGTATTGATCACCTACTATATGCCAAGGACATTCTCCATATTGCCTCATCTTATCTTCACAACAACCCTAAGACGAAGGTATTATTATTCCCTTTTTACAGACAAGGAAATGGAGACTGGGCAGCCGGGTTAATCATTTGCTCCAAATTACATTGCCAGTAAGCGAAAATTCTTGCAGGTGTGGGGCCTCCAAAGCCTGTGCTTTTTGGCACCATAGGCTTCTGCCCAGGTCTCTAGGGCAGAAAACGCACAACAGACAGGACACACATGGGTAGAATCAATTAAGATAAGGTTAGTTTGAGCAGAAGGTGTGGACTCAGGCTGGAGGAGTTCAAACTCCAGGGGAAGACAGGCGTGCAGGTGACAGAAATCAGGTCCAGTGTCCAGTGAGCCTGGAGACACCTGGGGCCAAGGTGAGGGCTGGGTGATAGCCTTTGGTAAAGCACTCCTGTTGGGAAGGGGAGTGAAGGGGGCTGGGTCAGTGCAACAGTTTACAGAGGCCCCGGGGACAAGTGTCTGTGAATGTTCTGCTAGAAGCTGTGACAGCCCCACTCCCCACCCCCACCCAGGGCACAATTACAACTCAGCCAGGTTCGCCTTCATTTTCTGTGGCTTCACATCTTCACCCTCTATCCCCTTGGGAGTTCCCTCCTATCTAAGCACCCAAGGTTTCCAGGTTCCCCCTCCTTCCATTGATTCTCCACCCCTAGAATCTTCTAGGGCAGCATCCCCAGCTGTTTTGACACCAGGGACCGATTTCGTGGAAGACAGTTTTTCCATAGACCCAAGGTGGGTGTGGTGGTTCGGGGATGATCCAAGTGCATTTATCACGCACTTTATTTCTCATTTAATGCCTCTGCTTCTCTGACAGGAGGAACCAGTCTGAGGCCCAGAGGTTGGGGACCCATGTCCTAGGGGACCTTTAAAAACACATACATGGACCCTAAGCTAGAAATTCCATTTCAGTTGGTCTGGAGGAGGTGAAGAAGGCTGATGATTGCCTGAGAGATGAAAGGACTTGCCCAGGTCAGCAGGGAGGCCTGGACTCCCCTAAGGCTTCCTAACTTGGAGCTCAGTTCCTGCAGATTATAATCACAAGCACATGCAGGGGGCCTAGGGGGGTGTTGGGGGGCAGGGGAGGGGTGAGCTCCAAGACGAGTACTTGCCCACGAGAGTCTTCTAGTGATGGGACTTCCAGGTCGGAGCTCTTCCCTTGGCCTCGCTCTGCCCCCGTGATGACCACCATCGCTTTCTACTGGATGTCAAAAGCACGTTCCTCGGCAAAGTCTGACTTTTGGACTTGGAATTCCCAGGTGGCTCGGTGGTAAAGAACCCAGCTGCCAACGCAGGAGACACGGGGGATCTGGGTTCGATCCCTCAGTCGAGAAGATCCCCTGGAGGAGGGCATGGCAACCTACTCCAGTTTTCTTGCCTAGAGAATCCCATGGACAGCGGAGCCTGGAGAAAGTGAAGAACAGGGAAGCCTGGCAGGCTACAGTCAAAGAGCTGGACAAGACTAGTGCGCACACAGTGAAAAATACTTCTTTGACAGCCAGGCTGAGTAGCTCCCAAAATAAGTTTTCAAATTCCTGTGGACTACAAAGCCTGTAAATAGAACTTGATGCCACTCAGGTCAGCCCTGGGGGCCCTTAGCCTTGGTTTCCAGGTCTTGAATTGAAAAATAAACACTAATAGGGCTTCCCTCGTGATCCAGTGGTCAGGACCCTGCACTTTCACTGCAGGGGATCTGGGTTCTATCCCTGGCCAGGGCACTAAGATCCCACATTACATATGGTGAGGCCAAAAGATAGAAGAAAAAAGAAAGAAAAGAAATACTAATAACATCTAACTCACAAAACTTCAGCAAAGATAACTAGAAATGATGCCCACAAAGAGTAATGCCCGACAGAGGAAGCAGCGCTCAGTCCTCCCATAAACACTCAGGATCTGCTGCAGGTGGATCTGGTGGGGAGAGGACACGGGTCCTGCAGACGCTCCTGGGATCACAGGGCTCCCCGCCGAGGGGGAACTCAGGCAATCAGAGAGGCAATTAGTACACAGAGAGCCGTGTGCCCCGGGGACACAACAGGGACACACTTAACCCATCTGAGAACACACATCAAGAAGCTTCCGAGGTCGGGTTGAAGGGGAAGGGAGGACGGGCAGCCCTGAAGGAAGGGTGGCTACAAGGAAACCCAAGTAACTGCAAATTGCAGCTGAAACAGAAACGGTGCCTTGGTTTCCTAGGGCTGCCGTAACAAATTAGCACGAACACGGTGGGTTCAAACGACAGAAATTGATTCGCTCGCAGTGCTGCCAGCGAGAACTCAAATCAGGGCATCATCAGAGCCAAACTCCCCTCAGAAGACTCTAAGGAAGAATCCTTCCTCACTTCTTCCTAGCTTCTGGGGGTCGTGGCCATCCTTGATGTTTGTAGCTGCATGACTCTAAACTCTGCCTCTTCTCTCTGTGTCTCTTCTTCCCATAAGGACGATTGTCACTGGCCTTAGGGCCACCTAATCTAGAGTGAGCTCATCTCCATACTTAATCACACTTGCAAAGACCCTACCTCCAAATAAAGTCATGTGCTGAAGTTCCCGGGGGATATGAATTTGAGGGGGTCATGATTCATCCCATCACAGAGGGCAAGGGCAGGACTGGAAGCAGAGAGAGATGAGATTCTCAGAGGTAGGCAGGGGACACACACAGACCCTGGACTTCATCCAGGGACATTTGTGACAGGTGGGAGCATTTTAAAATTTAAGTTTTTGAGCGATGTGCTGCCTGCGGGATGGAAGGCAGACCCTTCCATCTAAGAACAGAGTCGGATGTTCACAGCAAGGTGAGAAGTACTGGTAACTCTCGACAGTGGGTTTGCTGGTGATCTGGAAGTGGGAAGAAGGAAAGAAGCCACATGTGTTCTCCGGTTTCTGACTCGGGGAGCTGAACGAGGGCACCTGGCGAGAGGAGCAAGGGCGGCGAGGAAGGAGATGGGAGACCCAAGTGAGATGCTGGGAAGATGCAAGCTCGGGGGAGCTCTCGGGGCTGTGGAATGAGCCCATGGAAGGACCCGGGGCCATGGAAAGAGAACAGTGTGTAGTGGGGGGAGAGGAGGCTGAGACCAGGGAAGCACAATGAGGGCTCAGGCTGATGCAGGGCTCACAGCAAAGACTGGGGAGGAAGGAAGAGAGGCCAGGGCAGCGGGCAGTGGGCAGTCACACGGAGACAGGGGCGGTCCTTTCCCTGACCCCCACCCTCGCGTCCTGTCCAGCTCCCTTTCCACTTCGCTGCGGTGAAGTACTTGACCTTTCCTGAGATGATGGGAGGCTAACCTCACAGGACAGACTGTAACAGTTCCCTGTTTATTTACTCAAGCATGTTCTGTGCTCCTGTTACCTAACCGCTGCCTGGACTGGGCAACCCAGGGTTATCTGAGTTATCCAGAGCCTCCCATCGAGTCACCTCTTGCAAAGAGCCCACACCCTCTGTCTGCTCCCTCCCGTAGGGCAGGGGTTAGGCCCACGTAGGCTAATATTGATTGCCTGAGATGGGGCTGGTCTGATTGGAGATGTGACGAAAGTGAAAATTACATGCACATTTCAAAGACTCAGCCTGAAAATCAAGGTAAAATATCCCACGAATAATTTTGCATTGGCTACATGCTAAATCTACATTTTTAATATATTGAGTTAATTTAAATATATTATTAAGATGAATGTCACTTATTTCTTGGTACTTTTTCAAAACTTTTTTTTTGGACATGTATACACTGCTGTATTTATTTATTTTTGGCTGTGCTGGGTTTTCCCTGGCTGCATGCAGGTTTTCTCTAGTTGCAGAGAGTAGGGGCTACTCTCCAGTTGCCATCCATGCACAGGCTTCTCATTCCAGTGGCTTCACTTGTTTGCAGAGCATAGTCTCTAGGTGCAGAGGCTTCAGCAGTTGTGACTCGCTGGCTCTAGAGCATGCAGGCTTCAGTACTTGTGGTCCACAGGCTTAGTTGCTCTGCGGCATGTGGAGTTTTCCTGGACCAGGGTTCAAACCCATGTCCCCTGCATCAGCAGATGGACTCCTATTCACTGTACCACCAGGGAAGCCTTGTACTTTTTTAAAACCTAACATTACACATGTGAGTGAAAGTGAGAGTCGCTCAGTCGCGTCTGACTCTTTGCGGCCCCATGGACTATACTGTCCATGGAATTCTCCAGGCTAGAATACTGGAGTGGGTAGCCTTTCCCTTCTCCAGGGGATCTTCCCAATCCAGGGATCGAACCCATCTCCCGCATTGCAGCAGATTCTTTACCAGCTGAGCCACAAAGGAAGCGCTTACACATGTGACTTGCATTTATTTCTTTTGGGCAGTACTGCCCTGAGACCTTTTTGGATGTCAAAATTTACTTTAAACAGAACGTTTTCCAGAGTCCACCTGGCACAGGACTCGAGAAGGGAGAATGGCACACAGAATGCTGCATCTGGTTTTTCACGTTCTCATTTTATTTCTCAGAACTCACGTGATTCCCCCTCACCCCCCCTAACTTTTTAGATGAGAAAA